TCTCAGCATGCATCTTGACTCTCTGTGGCAGGCACAACGGTCCTGCCCACCTGTCCTCATGCGAACCCCCTGGAACTGCACAGGTGCTATGTTACTCTGCAGAGGGAACCAAGGGTGCGGGTGGAAGTGAGCTGCAATCCGCTGGGCCTGAGGCCGGAGTTAACCCTGGACTACCCTGGAAGGCCCAGTGCAGAAGGCAGAGGGGTCAGCGTCGGGGAGCAGTTTGCAGATGCTGCTCTGTGGGTCTCAGAGACGGCAGGAGGGGCAAGTAATGCAGGCAGCCTCTGAGAGCTGGAAAAGGCAAGGAAGCGATTTTCCCCTAGAGCAGCGGTTCACAACCGAACGCCCCTTTCACGGGGATCGCCTCATGGGAAACACATATGTCCGATGGTCTTAGGAACCAAGACACCGCTCCTCTCCCCGTCTCCAGGCACGTCCGCTCACATGCAGATACGCACACATAAGAGTACCCGGCATGAAGACTGTTATCCACATGGCGCCATGCTTCAACACAAAATTCCATTTATTTGTAAGCAGAAATAAGTATTCCACAATATATAATCACATACTGATTTTGTGATTCATCACTATGCTTTAATGATGTTCAACTTGTGACAAGGAAAATACATCCTGCATATCAGATATTTACATTACAATTCATAACAGTAGCAAAATGACAGTTATGAAGTAGCAACGAAAATAATTTTATGGTTGGGGGGTCACTACAACGTGAGGAACTGTATTTAAGGGTCGCCAAATTGGGAAGGTTAAAAATCACTGCCCTAGAGGATCCTCAATGGGCACTTGATGCTGGTTCCCTGAGACCTATTCTAGACTTCTGGCCTCCAGAACCGTCAGACAACAGATGTGTGCTCCTTTAAGCCTCTGAGTGGGTGGGACAGTGTTACACCAGCAACAGGAAACGGACACACTGCTCATTTGTGGGCTGTCACTATAACACATGTCCTGCTTTATTTTGTCCTGTTATGATTTATCTCTCTGGCTCAATGCCCTGGTTTGGCGCTCAGCTGCGAACTGAAAGGCTGGTGCTGGGGACCTGTGGGAGTCTGCTTCCACAAAGATTCCGGCCTGGGAGCCAGACTGCTCCTTACGCTCTCGCTTACATAGGACATGTCAGGGAGGGCAGTCCCTGCAGAAAGACGTCATGCTTGGTAAAGCAGAGCGGCGGGGGAAAGAGAGGACCTGCCACAAGCTGGATGGCCCCCCTGGCTGTATGCGACCACGGGCTCAGGCACAGGGACACTGTGAGGACGGCGCAGGACCAGGCAGTGGCTCCTTCTATGGTGCAGGACCGCTGTGGGTCGGAACCAGCTTGCTGGCACCTGACTCACCACCGGCAGGGGCGCACTGAGCTGGAGTCGATTCAACAGTGGTGACGTGGGGATTGGTTGGTTTATTCTCCCTTTGGCACCACTGCCACCGTGTTCTAGTGGCTGTGACTTTCTGGAAAGTCTCAGAATCAAGACAAACGCATCCTGCCTTCTGCGTCCGTTCTTCTTGAGGATAAAGCTGTCATGAAAGCGCACCCCGAGAGAAGAGAAGGGACGCCCCAGGGGTGCGTTCCAGACACCGCACAGCACACACACGAGTGGGCGCAACCATCGAGAAGCAGCGCGTGCTCAGTGAGTCTCCCGAGCACCAAGCGGCAGCGAGAAAAGTTTCCAGACCACTGGACTGCCAATCCTGGCTGTGAGTGGGTTCAACAGTCTGTGCGTCTATTAAGAGTAATTGTAGGCTTTCATTACCTGTGAAAAATCGATTGGCAGTGACCAGATTTAACCTCCCATTTGAAACAAATTTTATAAACAGACAAAATAAACCGTTTTCAAGATACTGGACTTCAGGCAACAAAGGATGGGGATCCTGAGAGAGGAAATGACAGAAACAGCTCTCTGATCCCAGCTGACAAAGGCCTTGAGCAAGCTGGCAGGCTTGTGTCCTCCTGCAGAACTCGCTGAGTGTGGGAGGAAGACACCGGACAGTGCTGGTGCGCTCCCTAGTTTCAGAAGACAGAGCGAAGAGCCCAGCAAGGCCAAGAAAGCTGGAGCTTCCCGGACAGAGTCCCAGACAGAAGGAGCCGCAAGAGCAAGACCTCCGGACACTTGCAGGGCTCCCCTCCAGAATTCAGCAGAGCACCAAGAGAAAACTACCGAGGGTCAGGGGAAAGACACCTGAACGGGCTAGAGGGAGCAACTCCTAGTGACCATACAGGACCAGAGACAGGGCAGACTGCAGATGTCCTAATTCACCAAACATGGAGTATCCCACTAAAAACGGTCCCATCACCTCAGCAAGGACTAATTAACATAGTGGTGGTCCCACCCGACAAGCCTAAAAAGCAAGACCAGACCGAAGCATCAACATGTTTGAGAGTCAACAGTACCAAGCACCCAACAGCATCCAATTCACAACGTCTGGCATCTGCTTGAGGAGAATACAAGCCAGAGAGCAGGAAAAATCAATGAAGTGAAACTGATCCAGAATGACAAAGATGTGAGCGTTAGTAGATAAAGCGAAAACCAAAATCCCTGCCACCAAGTCCATTCCGGCTCACAGTGATGCCACAGGATAGCGTCGAGCTCTCCTCCCCTGTGAGCTTCTGAATCTGTCGTTTTTCACAGGAAGAAAGCCCAGTCTTCTCCCATGAAGCGGCTCGTGGTTTTGAACTGCTGACCTTGGGGGTTAGCAGCCCAACATGTAACCAATGAAATAGTTATAACTGCACTTCATCCATAAGCTAGCAGAGAGATGGATTATGTTAAGGAACTACTGAAGCTGTATTTAAATAGCCAAATAAGATTTTAGAGATGATAACTATAGTATGTGAGCTATAAAAAAATACACTGGATGGGATTCAAGGCCTATTAGAGATTGTAGGAAAGAGGGATTGATGAACTTGAAGCCACACAGCAACAGGAACCAGAGGGGGAAACGCAAGATTAAATGGCAACAGAGCCTCCATGGGCTGCGGGACAACTCTGGCAGCCTCGTATGCATGCAGAGGGGAGAGAGCCAATCAGAAGAAATGATTTGAAGAACCATTAAAAGCAAGCCTTAATGTTCCCAATGCAGTGAAGACTATAAACCCAGGGGCTCAAGAAGCTCAGTGAACCCCAAGCATGAACCCAGTTAAAAGAGGATTCTGGGGGCATGTAGGCAGCAGCCCGCGAGCTCTGAAATCTAAAGTCCTCATGAGAACAGTCAGAGCAGCTGGGAAAGCAACAGATCCGGCCCTAAAACGCTTAACCATCAGGCCCCATCCTAGTTGAGAGCGAACTTAGATCGGAGTCCCCTGGACAGAACTAGTTGGCCGCTGGGACAGCTGGCCAAGGCTCATCCGCACGTCTCTGTGACGCAGACGAAGACTGTCTCCAAAACTGCTCTGATTTTTAAAACATGACTGTGGGTTCATGTCAACGAAGGCGCGAGACTAGGTTCACAGTGGGGGACAGGTGAGCAATACATCTGACTGGGCTCCGTGGTTTTGAATGATGCCTTCTATGCCCCACAGCTTCCAGCTATATCAAAGCCTTTGGGAATTTGTTCAAACTGACTCTAACAGGAACGCTTGCATGGCACCCACCACGGAGAGGGATTCCGGCAGATATTCTGCAGTATGTCAAGCACAGGGGGTGCTGCGCATTTCAATGCCACTTACAGAAGACGTGTTAATGTACACACTGGTGCTAAACAACAATTCCCAATAACCCAGGAAGCATGATATTCAAAAATGGAAAGGACGAAGCATGAAGCAGTTGACAGCACTGCCCGTTTGAGCAGAAGGAAAGCCCTTGGTGATGTGGCTGGTTGGGAAGCAGTCAACTGTGAAGTTTCGGTACCTGAGTCGTCTTGGCTGTGCCAGGCAACTCGGAAGATGGAGAGAGGCCAGCGCTTCAAGTTCTAAGCCAAAGAAACAAGCGTTCTGCTCCCTCCCGCTGGAAAATTAGCCTTGACAAAACCAGCTTCCAAAAATGAATTTCAACTCAGGGAGAGAAAAAAAAAGCATCACCAAATGAGCGAGTCACTGGCGCCTTTGTGTAAAATGCCCTTGAACCCCAACGGGAAAAACTGGCAAAGATAAACAACATAAAAAGAGAGAAGACAAGCCCTCCCCATGGGAACCCACCTATTACCATGAAAGGCACACTGTCGGGGCAGATGGATACTAAGCTCCTCTTGACAGGCTTGCACGCGAGCTCATCCCAAGCCTTTCTCTCTAGACTCGTGAGACAAGAGACATGACCACCACCCATGATCGAGGGTTTTTGGCACATTATGGAGTTGGCACAATCCCCAGAAGCCCAGAGGCTAAGGTTCAATACTCCCTCAGGGTGAGCTTCTCAAACACCAGCTTCAAAGCTCCATTTTCCCTCTCCGGGTAGATGAATTCTCAACGAGAACCCCAGTTCTGGCGGCCCTTAGGAAGGAACCGGTGGTGCAGTGGCGCAATGCTGGGCTGCTAACTGAAAGGTGGCGGTTCAAACCCACCAATCGCTCTACAAGACACAGCGATGGCGGGCTGTTCCCATGAAGATGCACAGCCTTGGCATCCTCACAGGACCATTCTGCTCGCCCCGGAAGCTCGCTGTGAGTCCAGAATCAGCTCGACGACAACAGGTTGGGCTTTGGGGTATCCAGTAAGAGGTACTGAACACAAGGCACGGGCCACAGCAGATCCACAGCCAGCAATCCAATACCCACTGCCTGAAACAGCTCTGGCACCACCTACGTGCCTGTGGGCTAGGGCTGGCGCTCTGCCAACAGCCCTTGCTGCCTGCAGCCTACTCTGCCTCTCAATACTGAGCACAAAGCCAGGTAAGTGATCCCAGTGACGGCAATCTGTGACCATTCCCAGATCCCATTCCCAGCCCCAGCATCAGACCAGTCTGATGATCACTAGGGTGGACCGCAGAGCTCCCCTGGGAACAGATGGAAGTCGTGCTGTGCGCTTGAGAAGTGAACGCTCTGCACACACTTACTGGAAGGGGACGTGGGCGGCTTCTTGGAGCTGCGGGCCGGCTCTGGAGACGTGTCCACGTGCTCTTCCGGGCTGCGCGAGTACTGGAAGTGCACTGTCCCCGACTCCACCTGCTTCACCTTTGACAGAGCAGAGAGAGGACAATGAGACCCCGGCGAGGGCGCGTGCACACTGCCCCACCAACGCTGTCGAAACATTCACCCCGGAGCAGTAGCCCAGCCCGTCGGACAAAGTCTGGGGAAAACCAAGAGCTTCTGAAGGCGCATGTTCGTACATTACAACCAAGTCACTTTCTCACAGAAAGGAGTCTGCGGCAGAATTAAGATCCCGAAAAGACATGATACCATGGAACGACCCTTCCACGGGAAGAAGTCATAGTGGCTCCCGTCTGAATGTTGGTTTCTTATCAATGAACCTGCGTCACCCGACTTTGAGTTTCAACACATATATTGAGGAATTTGGGAGAAGCACAGGCAGAATGCGCCTTAGCAGCAAGGATGGCAAGACTTGGCCTCATGTAGCTCGGACATGGTATCAGGAAAAACCGGTGCCTGGCAGTGGACATCGTGGCTGGTAAAGTAGAAGGGCAGCAGAAAGGAAGGCCTTTGAAGAGATGGACTGACACGGCGGCACCAATGGGCTCAAACATCACTCCAGGTGTGAAAACAGTGCGGAACCGGGCAGTGTTTTCTTCTGCTGTGCCTGGGGCGGCCATGAGTCAGCTCCAGGTCACCGAACAACAACATTTAGAAACTGCATGATCTGACCATGTTAGGTTCCCAGTATCGTTTTAACCTGTTGCTTAAAACAACAGAGATGTATCTGCCCTGGAGGCTAGAGGTCTGACATCAAGGAGCCTTGGGTGACCCCCTTTATGATCATACCCTCTCCTAACGCTAACCCTCGGCAACAGCAATTTCTTCTCCATCACTCTGGCTTGATCTTTTGGAGAATGTCACATACAAGGCTTTGGAGGCTAGTTCCTCTCACTCAACACAGAGCCAATGAGATTGATCCAAGTCACGGCACCACAAGAATTCATTCTTTCATATAGTTGGGCAGCATTTATTACATGGATGTATCACAGATTGTTAATCCGTACACATCTGAGAACCTCTCCGTTGTTTTCCGTTTCAGTGAGATATCTATATAAAATCCAGAGAGTTTACTTGGCTATAATATTTATGGAAGCAGACTGCCAACCCTTTCTTGTGAGGCACTGCGAGGTGGGTTCAAACTCCCGTCCTTTAGGGCAGTAGTTGAACACAAACTGTCTGTCCCACCCAGGGCCTGTGATCATGACTAGAGCTGCTAGTCCTGTGATGTGAACCTAAGCTTTCATTCCTCGAGTAAATACCATCTTGTACACAAATAACACATGCCACACGTGGTTTGTGTCAATGGCATGAGCCCCTCGTGGGTTTTCGTATGTGTGCTCTGTGTATTAATGCACAGGCGTGTTATTTGCACAATGCGTGGTACACAGAAATAGGACTGCTGGGTCAGGTGATAGGGGTATGTTTGTTTTAAACGAGACAGCGTACTGTTTTTCCAGAGTGACGTTTTAATTTTTCATTACTACCAGCACTGGGCTAGCTCTCCTGTCTACACATCCTTGCCAGCACTTGGCTACTGATGCTCGTTTTTATTTTAGCCATTCAAATGGTAGGTGGGTGGTACTGTCTCATGGCTTTAATTTTCACTTCTCTAAAAGGCTAACGTCATTAACTATCTTTTCATGTGCTTATTTGCAATCCATATATGCCCCTTTGGTAGAGGGTCTCTTCAAATCTTTTACCCATTTTTGTGTTGTTGGAAAAAGTGATTTTTCCAAAATAAGAAATCAATGGTCTTGCAGAGTTCTACCATGCAATCTCCAGCTTTTAGCACCATACCATATTTTGCAACAACTGATCCTTCTTGGTTCCCAATTTTTCAAATTCCAATTGGCAGTAATTATTAATGAACCTTGATTGCACTTTTGATCAGCTTCATGCTGAAGACATTCGTAGAATTCCTCCATTTCTTCATCACTAGCTCTAGTGGGGGAGAAAGACAGGGCTTTCTACTCCCGTACAGAGTTAGTCTCGGAAACTCACAGGGACAGTCTACCCCGTCCCAGAATGTCCTCTAGGGTCACCATGAGTCAGTGTGACTGGTTGGCAATGAGTGGACTTTAGAGGCTGGACCACAAATTTGAATAACAATGGCATTGATTGAACTTCCTTGTGTACTGAGCCCTGGGATGTAGTGGTTACACATTGGGCTGTGATCCCCATGGTTGGTGGTTCACAACCACCAGCCATTCCACGGAAGATAGAGTTTTCTACTCTGTGCGATAGGATAATAGCAGATAGCTACTACCCTACCACACACAACGTGAGCTTCAAAGCAGATCCTAAATGTTCTTTTGGACGGTGACGGTGACACCGTTCCACCTGCATTTGTCGTTTTCAGAACAGGAAACACAATGACTGGTTCAAAAGGGCCAGTAGCAGTCCATTTCCGCTCACGAATGTGCAGCACAGTGATCTTTACGCATGCCACTTCATTTTAACCACTTCTAACTTCACTAGTTTCGTATTTCATACGTTTCACATTTTGATTATTAATGGATGTTTTCAGCGGTTTCTTCTCATTTTAAGCCACTGAAAACTTTTTACCCCGTCCACGTTATTCAAACCTACGCTACTGTAAGGAGGCAGCTCTTTCCCAGCTATATTCTGAGTATTTCCCAAGTGAGGAGTCCATCTCCTGGGACTGTATCTGACGGTGCTCCAGTGCTCTCCATGAGGTTTTGAGTGGCTAATCCCACAGAAGCGGACAGCCAACTGCTTCTTTCTATTCTTTATAAATCTGAAATGTCATAGTATGATTCCTCTTTGATTCTTTTTCAAAACTTTGGGGTCTTCCAGTTCCTTTGCCTTTCCACATAAATTTCAGAATTAACTTGTCTAGATCTCTAGCCAACATACAGTTTAGACCTGTCTATCATTTATGCATACGTAAGTATGGTTGGATTTAAACTGGGATTGCACTAAACTATTACACAGAACAATTTAAGCGGAACTGACATTTGTGACTGTTTCGAGGCTCCCAATTCTGGAGACTGACTTAGGTCATCTTGGGGCACTGAGCACGCTGCACTGCTATCGCCAGGCTGTTGGCGCTCCACAGGACAAAGACGAAGCTCCTGGCTCCCATTAAGTGTTCAGCCTCAGAAAGCCTATACAGGAACTGTGTGAGTTGGAATCAACTCCACCGCAGTGGGTTTAGTTTTTGCTTTTCTGTTCTCTTCTTTTGGCTGATTTCACCTAAGATTAACCAGAATGAGAATGATGACTTCCAGAAGAATAATTGTTTTATTATTGTCAGCACACAAGTCTTGGATACATTTAGTTAGGTTTCATCCAGTGGGGGGGGGGGCGCTTTGTAAATAATAATGCTTTAAAATTCTTGCTTTTCAATTGTTCATTCCTGGTATCTAGAACTACGATTGCTCTATATTGACCACACATCCTGTGACCTCTCCAAACTTACTCAGTCATTAAGAGAGAGAGCGAGAATGGCAATGGCTTCAGGATTCCTGATGGCAATCTTGTAATAAGGGCTTAAACTAGACCGTGTGGGAATGCAGCGGAACACGACTGATAATGAGAGAGCTTCTTTACAGTAAGAAAAGCTGCGCAATCAGCTGTTCCCTCCTCGGGTGCCCAAAGCAACCCCCCACCACCACTATAAATAATGACACTGGAGATCGTGTTTGTCGCCAGTCAGCACACAGGTAAAACACTGAAATAACAGGTTGAGTCCCTTTACCTCAGACGAATGAGACAATGGAGTATAACGTCTGTACTGCAGAAACAAATTGGGAGGCATCTGAGGGCTGTAAAGAGAAGACTGCAGCAGAAACACACAAGGGGAGTGCCACCACACAGCTCAGCGGGCACAGGTGCCCTCGTGTCATGCACTCTGGCAGCCAGGTCACTAGGGAAGAGCCCGGGGCCGTCAGCAGGCAGAGAGCAGCAGTCCAACGACAACAACACCCCTCAGCTAGCCCTGCCCTGCTTTCTCTGTCCTCCCAGGCTGTGTGTCTCTGCCACTCGTAGGTCAGGGAGAAGCGTGTCAGGCTTACAAGAAAACCAAAAATCCAAACTCACTGCCACCGAGGCAGTGCTGACTCATAGCGAACACCTGGGGCTTCCCAAGACTGTAAAATGTCAAGAAAAGATCTTCAGGCAAAAATAAATGTTCTTTGATGATTACCTGGTTGCGAGGGGGGGCGGGCTAAATCACTCACTACTAAGTAGATATATGTTCACCATGTTCACCTGGTTGGAGGGGAAGGCAAAGGAGGTGGGAAAAGAAGTGATGCAGGTAAAGAGAGACAACAAGGCATGTTGAAGGCAACACTGAAAACGACTGCTATATCCATGGTCCCACGATAACAGTATAGACAACTGGATGCACAGGTAGACATGCAAATGGAACGGGAATGGGAGGGATAATGGGACTGTCCATGAATAGAGGGAGAGTTCTACATGTGTTAACCTATGCAGCAAATTAACCCTTGACTACCGCAAAGCAATCGAGAGGCAAAGTTACCCAAAACCTCTTAGCCATAACCAAACTCCTTGAGGGAATCAGCTGTGGGGCCTGGTGGCTCAGAACCACAGTCTCAGAGGGCACAAATGAGGTCAATGGGCATACAGAGCCCACAAAGACAAAGGTCTACATCCAACTTTGGTATGTAGGGACCAGGGTCTTAAAAGCTTACCTGCAACTACTGGTCTTTTGCCCATCTAGAGCAAAGAGAATGGAGAAAACTGAAGACTCGTGGGAGCAACTGGTCCAACGGCCCTAATGGACTCACACATCTCAGCCTGCGTGACCGTGAGAGCAGGAGTGGAAGGTGCTCGGCTGTCACGGACAACCGCTCCGAAAGGGATCACAATGGGAGATATGGAGCAGTGGTTCTCGCCCTTCCTAAGGCAGCAACCCTTTCAGACAGTTCCTCATGCTGGGGTGACCCCAACCATAACATTATTTTCGTTGCTACTTCATAACTGTAATTTTGCTACTGTTGTGAATCGGGCAACCCCTGTGAAAGGGTAGACCCTCCAAAGGGGTCGCGACCCACAGGTTGAGAACTGCTGTCCTACGTAGAGCAGGAGAGGGAGGTAGAACAAAACCCAAAATCAGAGAAAAGACCAGGCTGACTGGCCTCCAAGAGATGGTGGGTTTGCAGAGACCACCGCCCTTCGTCAGTCATCAGGCCTGGAACATCAGGTCCCAATTTTCAGGCAAATAAAAACAGGTCTACACGGGGAACAACATTAGGTCGGTATGCAGTCCTTAGAATAATCAATCATTTGAAATCAAGCGGGCAGTCTTTAAAGAAGGACAAAGTGCAGAAGGCAGGTAGGGTTAGGAAAGGAGGGATGGGAACAGGAAACACAGGGAGAAGATGACAGGATTCCAATCAACGACATGAAACAACATGTGTGTGAATCATTGAAGGGAAACCTTCACCTAATCCACCGTGAGAAATTAAAAACAAAACACACGTGTAGTTTAACTAGTACAGAAAGTCTGCCTTGAGAAGTCACTGACCACGTTCCTTTAAAATCTACTTTTCATGGGGAATATGTATATATAGATACGGGTTCCTTCTGAACCGGGCCACTTTCATTTAACATCATGTGTCCCAGATGTATCCATGCTGTGGCGGGATTCGGAACTTTATTCCTCTTCATGGCTTCTGCCTGAGTAATACTCCATTGACCCTGTGGGCCACATTGTGGTCATCTATGCATGTTGATGGGCACTAGAATTATTTATTCCTTTTTGCTACAGTGAATGATGTGTCTGCATTTCCACATTGGGGCTTAGAGAAAGTTTCATTTCAAAATCATTTAAAAAAATAGGTCCATGTGAAGTACTGTTCTCTTTTTAAAACTATATGGGATCATATTGACAACAGCAACTGGAAATGAGAAACGTCCGGAGCGGGGG